ATTTTTCCCATTTGATGAAATATTTTATTTACCTGTCAGCTGCTTTCTCTCCGTGTGTTGACTTTTCTCTCTGTGGATGGGGATCAGAAATATTTTCCTCATTCAGGGAGCTGCTGTGCACTGTCAAAGCAAACCGTGTTGTAATTAGGAGATTTTGTCAAATATTGAGATTCTCTGCAGACTGCAAAGAAGATGGCATTTCTAAACTGGACCCCTGTTCGTGAGGAAACAAAAGAAGGCAAAGCATCAGAACAGTTTGGATGAAAACATCACGGGCAAAATGTCAGCAGCAATTATCTGACACCATTGCTGACCAAAGAAAAAAGTAACCTGCTGCTCAACGGCCTTTAGTTGCTGCCTGGCTTTTGTTCTTGCTGTCTGTTTTCGGGAGATCATTGACACACAAAGAGAGAGAGAAGACCTTGCCGAATAAGAAAAAAGAATAAGCCCTTGTGGGGGTACTTTTGATGATAAAAAAAAAATCTATACATATTCTCAAATAGTAAAAGATGGAAGAAAAGTGTGCTGTCACACATTGTCTGAAATAGCTAGATATCCGCTGACAACTGATAATGGCATCACATGTGATCATTAAGTTTCTGAGTACAGAGAAAGCAAACAAAAAGTAAGATTTTGTGCCATGATGTAAAAGCTTGATGATACATTAGATCTGGATGCTGAAATGTACTGCTTTACAGATCATTGGCAGAATAGTTTATCTTCAGTGGTGTTTAAGGCCTTAAAAAAAGAAAAATTACCTAAATCCATTGGCACCAATTTCTCTGATGGATACATGAGTGTTGGCCAGGGCAGTTCAGCAGCAGAGATGTTGTAGCAAGTAGATAGGAGGTTAATAAGGACATAGTGGCCAGAATGAGAGGCTACTGAGTGGTGTTATGTGTAATATCAGTTTGACCCAAACAGACTGGTATATGAGGAGCTTTAAATCTGTGATTCTGCTATGTTTTTTGTTGGAATTCAGTGACAAGAATGAAAAAGGTACGGCATGAATTCAGAACGCTGCCCTGCTTATTTCATATGTCATAACTCGCTGGTGGCATTTACTAAGGAAATTTGGAAAATTGCAGGTCTGGTGGGTTGGCAGAAATGAGACAGACATCACATTTTATTCATAACATACTTGATCATTGTCTGAGATATGACCTGTTTTTGCAGAATGTCACAAGTACTGTCAGGGTTTTGAGAAAAATAAATACTTTGTTATCAATATAATATGCTGAATGGGTATATTCTGTACCAAATATATGAAGGTTGGGAGTCAAATTTCACAGTTCAAGGGGGATTATAAAGGCTTTATATTTCAACTGCTGAGTTGACTCGAAAGTTTTAATCCATGACACTCCGAGCAACATAAAGCAAATACGAACAGCAAGCAACCATTTGTCATGCAAAGATATAAACTCACACTCCTCTAGCATTTACTCGCTCAAAGTTTCTCTGAACTAAGCTGAAACAGTTGGTCAGGTGAAGAGTGCCTGGCAAAAATTGCAGCCTTACCTGTTTGTTTTTATTTAATTCTTAGTGATTTATTTTAGTGGTACTGTCAAATAATTTCTGGTTGGACAATAGCTTTTATCACTGAATGTTATAGTGTGAGCTGGCTAGCTTTCGACAGATTTTTTGCTTATTGTTTATTTTTTTTTAAATACATGAATAAATTAAATGCTATGGTGTGAAGCACTTCTTTTTCTTTGTTTTGTGATTTAGTGATTATTAGCAATTATCGAATACTTCAGATTGTTGGATGAGCAGATGATGTATCTTGTCTTCTGTGCACTGATTCTCCTGAAATCTATACAGTTTTCAGTCTCCACTCATTTCTATATTCTGCTCTAAAGCAGTTAAACTTTCTTGTCATCTACTAAAGTGGCCTTGGGACCATTGGGATTTTTCTAAGTTTTTCTTTGAACGTTTGACTGCTTTTCCACTGAATTTCAGTTCTACCAGAAAATTGAAATAGGATTTTACTTATTTGTTAGTCAAGACACTTAGTAGTGGACTGGAAATCGTTCAACCATACAAATGGACCCAAACTTGAATAATAAAACATTTTTGTGTGTCTACAACCATTCAGCATTGAACATTTTTTATATATTTTTTTCTTTTTTGTTTTACGCATATCTCTATACAAACACTACTTTGCATCTACTTTGTTCCAACTACTTGAAATGATTTAGAGAGGAAAACATATATTTGACTATTTGAAAAAAATCTAGTTTTGTCTAAACAAATCATTCTAAGAAGGGCTACTGATTGCGACAAAATGTCATGTTTTTTTCTTTGCATAGCCATTTGCATACATCTTTGCACCTGTTTCCATTTTACCTGGAATTATGTATTTAAATAAAACATGTCTCAGTGCTATAGTTTTAAAGTATTCTACCTCTGCCAACTATTTGATTTTTCACCCACATTTAGGCTCCTGTGTGGACCTTCAATTAATATTTGACCAAACGTCTAATTAAAATAGTACTATTACTAGAACTGCAGACATCAGAACTGACATTTCAATCCCATATTGTGTTTATGCTTTGTTTCCACATAAATACAGAGTAGGCTACAACGAATGAGCAGGATGACAGTGTTTCCTCCATGCATCTCTCTCTCTCTTTTTAAGGGTACAACAGATGGAGTCCTGGTGAGTCCCCGTCGTGCAGTCTGGTACAACATTCAGATTTCCTTTCACAGAAGAAACTTTTCTTCAGCCAGAAAATCTTCCTTACAGGGACCAAAAAGCCCAGAGCAATCATAGCTCTGATCCTCGGATACAGAAAGCTCTACGAAATACAGAACAATGAGGGTCAAATGGTGGGCATGGAAGCCCCACTAAGAAAAAAAAATGACATGAGTGAAATGATTGACAGATTCACCACCCAGAGCAAAAAGTCCTTTAACCACCTATTGAAACTGTTGCTATGAAGCCAAACAGACAGAGGAAAAAAATGTTAACCGCTTCCTATTGAGAGCAAACCAAATAAAGAGCTTCTGAATTGGAGTTCAGTCAAGAGCATATTGGAAGGAAATAATTTCTCCTTTGGCTATATTGTTTCAGACACAACTGTGCATTCATTCATTGTGTCTACAAACGTGTGTCCAGGGACAATCTTTGAGGTATAGTGAATAACAACTTTAATATCTCTCTGGTATTGTCTTTTGTCTTATATCCCTCATGGTCAGCATGGTAGTGTGGTTTCTAGTACCAGTGTTTCACAGGAAGAGGATTATCAGTTTCAATAATGACTTGGGTATTTTCTGTGTGGCGTTTCCAGGTTCCAAATTTATGGTTCTTTCCAGATACTTTTGACTTCTTCTTGCTGACCAACAATATGCATGTTTGGCTCATAAGTGACTCTGAATTGACAGCAGGACAGAGTGTGAATGTGAATGGCTGTCTCATATTTCTCTGTGGCCCAAATTCAAAATTTAGTGTCTGATCTCAGATGCGGGATTTGTTTTCCACAAACAATATTTGTTCATTCCAAAAGAAGGAAAAGAGCAAAACGAAATACTTTTCATATGGAGAAACATAAATATATCAGCTGCTGTTTGTCTATCCTGAAAGAAACATTTTCATCAATAGGTAAAATGTTAAACACAGCAGTGGAAGAGTCAGAAATTTTGCATTCCAGTCTGCATCAAGTTTGCATCATAGCAATGCAGAGGATTGTGTGTGATCTTGATTTTATGAGCTTGCAAATGCCCATGAGTGTAAAGAAGAAACTTGCAGAGAGTACCTTTGAACCTTGATTAATCATTCTGTTTTAAGTGAAACCCAAATAAATAACACGCACCCTGGCAAAAAAGTGATGACAAAACTGTTTACATCTGCTCTTAGAAGAAACATACTTTGGTTTCTACTTGGATGTCTAAACCGACTTTGATACCAGGAGTGTTAGACACTAATGCAAACTCAGACACAGAGAGATAAAATCCAAGTTTAAAACAAGACCCATTTGATATTTGGATATTCACTCTAGGACAGAGATTTTGAGAAACCTCTCCTACCGTCAAATTTTTGGGAGATAAGAAAAAAAGTAGATATCATCTTTCTTAACAGAATTTCAGTGGCTCCATGTCTCTTTGGTCCTAGACATCATAAGCACCTTAACCCTTTTCACAGTTTCAATTCAGGATGTTACTTTATGCACATAAGCTCAGCTTAGTCAAGATTAAATGCCACGATGGGCTAAAGCTTAAATAAATTGTTCACGTTTGACCTCTGTCATTGAAAGGCACAGTGGTATCTGAACTTCAATGATGGCCGGACATTTAAAAAAAGCATTTTGGGATAATGCGCAATGTGCAGGATGGTTCCTTTAAAGGAAAACCGAGCATAGAACTATGATCATATGCGTGACGTCAGATGACTGATTAAATATTAATAATCTT